TGTACATTTGCATTTGGAAATGTTTTTGGTTTTTATGAATAAGGCTACTATGTACATATTTTTTTATGATGTATTTTAAAAAAATTCTTTGATATCCTTTACTGTTTTCCTCTTATTTATTGGATTGTTTATCTTTTTATTGTTCATTTGTAGGAGTTCTTTTATTCTGGACATGAATCCTTTGTCAGAGAAATGTATTGAGAATATTCTGTTATTATTGGCTTTACATATTTAGGTGCTAAGCTGTTGAGTACATAAATATTTACAATTGTTATATATCCTTGATGGATTGACCCCTTTGAAATGCCCTTCGATGTCTCTTTTGACCCTTTTCAGCTTAGTGTATTTTGTCTCTTGTGAATATAGTTACTTCTTTCTTTGGGTTGCCATTTACCTGAAAAACCTTTTTTTGCATCCCTTCACTCTCAGTTGGTGTGTATCCTCAAAGTTAATGTGAATCTCTTGTAAGCAGCATATTGTTGGATCTTTAAAAAAATCCATTTAGCCATTCTTTTGGAGAATTTATTTTTTTTTGTGTTTAAAGTAATTATTGGTTGTAAGGACTTACTATTGACATTTTGTTTATTGTTTTCTGACTGTTCTATAGAACCTTTGTTCCTTGCTCCTTGACTTGTAGTGTTCTGCTTTGACTACTTTATCATAATCCATTGTGTCTCCTGCAGGTTTTCCCTTTGTGGTTACCATGAGGCTTACATAAAATATCTTATTTTTGTAACATCTTATTTTAAGCTGATAACAGCTTAACTTCCTTAGCATATAGAAACATTATACTTCTCTCCCCATTACATTTTAGGTTATTGATGTTATAATTTATATGTTTTTATATTGTGTGTCCAATAAAAATTATTGTAGTTATTATTTTTATTTTTTATTGGTTAATAAGATCATATAGGTTTCAAGTATACATTTCTGTGATACATGATCTATATATTGCATTGTGTGCTCACCCCCAAAGTCATATCATCTTCTGTCACCATATATTTGCCATTATTTTTAATACATTTTTTTTTAACTTTTAAACTAATTTTAAGTAAACTATGCACCACCATAACAATGCTAGAGAATCTGACTTTGGCTATGTATTTACCATCACCAGTGAGTTTTACACACATACATGCCCGTGTTTTTATGATGTTAATTAGCATCTTTTTATTTCCTCTTGAAGAATGCCTTTGGCATTTCTTGTAAGGTAGGTCTAGTTGTGACGAATTCCCACACAGATGGAATTATATGTTCCCTGGTCTGTTTCCTGAGCTAGTCTCTACAGGGAAATGAAGACATTTTACTCATTTTTATAATCCTGCTGCCTAGCACAGTACTGGCTCCTGAGTGGGTGCTTAATTAACATATGTTAAATGAAAATTGTTGTTTGAGCTGAGTTTTTAAAAAAATATATTGTTTATTGATTTCAGAGAGTAAGGGAGAGGCAGATAGAAACATCAATGATGAGAGAGAATCATTGATTGGCTGCCTCCCGCTTGCCCCCTACTGGGGATGGAGCTGCAATCAGGGTTTGTGCCCTGACCTGACTGGGAATAGAACTGTGACTTCCTGGATCAAAGGTCAACGCTCAACTATTGAGCCATGCCAGCTGGGCTGAGCTGAGTTTTTGAGTTTTTATAGATGAGGTGGGCTTATTAGGCAGGCGGATACAGGGCGGGTCTTCTAGGTAGGTGGCATAGCAAGTGCAAAGGCATGACAGCCTGAAAGACAGGCAGGTTACAGGAGAAAAGGTTGCATTGAGAAAGGTGATAGAATAGTGAGGGAGCCAGGGAGCAGATTTTTGAAGGGGAAAACCTCTGGGATGGGACAATTTCTGGAAATTATAAGATCAGGCCGCATGTTACCAAAGTCCATGAAGGTGTAAGGCACTGGGAATGAGTAAGTCAAAGAATTGTGAAGCTGAGGTCTAGGCTGGGGATCCATGTGGATGCTGAAGTTACCATGAAGGTGCAGAACTGGGGAAGGAGGCGGAGACAGAGGTTTTAATAAATACCCTTTTGCCTGGGGTTTTATAATGTGGTGGAATTCTCTGAGGACAGAGCAGGGTCGACATGGATGTATCCCAAATGAAAGTGACAATACTGGCCTGTGAACTGAGAAGGAATAGGCTGATTTTTAGGTCTTTTCGATTCAACAGCCCCTGAAAAACTGTTCCCAAAGGTGTGATGAGAAGGATGAGTCTCCTTTTAAGTCACAACCACCTTCCTGTTACCTCCTAACTGGATCTGGCTTTACCTGGAGGCTGCCACGGTGGGGAGGTGGCATGTTGGAGGGACTTGCTGTGCCTGGTTTGTCTCAATGCCAGCATTGGGGTTTCCTGCCTCTGGCTGCCCATCGGCCCACAGAGATGGGATTCCTCATGCTCTCACAGGCTATAGAGTGACTTTGGGCAAGAAAAGCATTTGGAATCCTTCAAACCTTCCTCTCCCCCGCCATTCTCCCCACTGCACCCCATCCCCTCACTGCTATGTGGATGCTATTGTGATAGCAATTTGTATATTGAAGGATTATTATATGAACTTTGTATGGTTGGTCTAAAAATAAGTAGTACTTCATCTAGGGGGGAAAGCTGCCTGGGAAACCTTGACTAGTTTCTCAGTAGTGGGGATAGGAGGGCACCAATTCATCTCTACTCCTCATGCAGACCATCATGAACACCTGTAGGACTTAGGGCTGGGTGCCAGTGGAGGTACTGGCCCCCTGCTCCTCCCTTCTCTTTCCATTCTAATCCCATCCTGCATGCATGGGGGCTGCACCTCTGGGCTCCATCAACACCCTGCAAACAGTGATCCTGGGGGTGTGCACATCGGGGGTGTGGCTCACTGTAGGGAGGACAAGGCAGACCCTGAGTATTTTGGCAGGAGATTTTGGGACCACAAGTATCAGCATGTTCAATGCAGGCTGGGTGGTTCTGTCCCCTGGGCCTTGTGGCTGCTGGACTCCCTAGCTGTGGGTGGGGCATGGCCGAAGTGGGGCCTCATAGTGGTGTCTTGGGCAGGTCTAAGGGCACTTCTGACCTCGTAGTGTTTCATTTGTGAGATGACTGATGATGGCAGAGAAAGGCCCTGGCCACTTTTCATACAAATGGGCTCTTACAGGGATGAGCAAAAATACACTCAAAGGTTATGCCCTTCTTGAGGAAATACCTTAGAGTGTTCAAACTCCTTCTTATGGACCTTGGCCCATGGCCAAGTTTCACCTGTGACTTAGGGCTCTCCTGGGTTAGAGTGCACTTCATGGACTTTTACTCTCCCCCTGGCTTCTGCTGAGCTCAGCTGCAGGCCAGCCAGGGTGGCCCTCTTAGGATCAGGAGGAGAAATGGTGTTGCAGGGAATTAATAAAAATCCTGCTCACCTGAGTGCCGTACTGTGCTCCATTATCCTTGTTCATCTGATTAACATCGCACCATCCTGGCTTCCCTAGGACCTTTCTCTCACTGGCTGTGTGAGAACACAGTAGCCATCAGTAGCTGGGCCAGTCCTGCTGCCAGAGGTGTCTGACACGGCCACTGCCCTTCATTCATGCTAATACTGGTGTTTCCAGTATCTCTACTATTATGTACCTCCAGCAAGGGGACAGTAGGCAACTTAAATTCTAATCTCGCTATGCCTCCTGTTAGCTGCATGGCCCTGGATAGGTCACTAAACCTCTAAATGTGATTTCTTCTCTCATAACAAGAGCATCCTTCTACCTCACAGGAACATTTTAAGGATCTAATGAGCCAGTGCAAGTCAAAGTCTTCTAGAATGTGTAAAGCCCATTGAAATTTAGGAGATTATTATCACTGTGGTGTGAATCATTTATCATTTCCCTTGCAAAGTGACAGCTCTGCAGGAGAGCAGCTTTGCTATGGGGAGGGTGGAGAGATGATGAGGATGAAAGAGGGGCTGGGGAATCCAGAAGGATGAGGAGGAAGAGAAGGAGGTGCAACAGCTGTTAAAGGAAATGAAAAGTGGCTAGAATTCAAGATCTCCTAGTATTCAGTCAGCACTAGGCTAGGAGGTCTATACACATAGGCTCAATTCATACTTTAACAGCTCATAGCTCATTTTTGACAATGAAATGTATTTTAATAAACACTGCCTTTATAATTATTTAAAGTGCAGATACATTTTTTTGGGGACACCTTATATATACCTGTGCATGCATGACTGGTTCTGCTTCTTTAGTTGAACCCTAATTGGTAGAATATAGAACCTAGTCCAGGAGTCAGAGAACTTGAAGGAGGATCCAGGGTAAGGTGGAGCAATTGCTGGCCCAGATACTGCTGCATTGCAATGAGCTGAATCAGCAGATCAGCAATAAACTGTATGAATGACCAAATGGCTGCTTCATCCTTGCTGTTCTCCTGTTTTTCCAAGAATCCTCCTTGTGGCCCACCCTAGTAGGAAACATAAGGCAGGGAATTCTGGGAAATGTAGTTCAGCCTATCCAATTTGACACATTACAAAGCCATCATGTGAGTTTTCCATACATATTTGTTGAATGAATGAATGAATGAATGAATATTGTGCTGCTGCTTTTGGAAGTTTTCTGGTTGTCAGAACACCCAATCCTGGCTCTACCTCTTACAAGCCAAGCAATTTTGAACAAGTCACTTAACCCTTTGAGTCACTTAACCCCTTGATTTCCTCATCTGAAAAACTCCAAGAATAACCCATGTTCTGCCTATTTAATGGGACTTTTATAGGGATCAGTTGAGGTGGTCTGAATGAAAGCACTGTGAACATTATAAAGTGCAAAAGAAATGTGATATTGTAGTATTGTATTATTTTAATTATTAATATTGTTATTAATACTTCAGCTTCCTAATATATCATATGGAGTTAACAGTTCCCAACTAATTTACCTGTTAGGTAAGCAAGGAAAATAAAGTTAGATGAAGTATGTGGAAACACTCTGTCAGCTATTCCATGGCATAGTTTTCAGAGGCAAGACAATTATCATTCCACACTTGGTTATATTTACACATTGTTTTATTTCTGGGCTAAATGGCTTAGAGGGACAAGTGTGTAATTGGAGCCATTGGTGACCCTGGGAACTGTAGGGCAGTGGCCATTCCTTGGATGCGAGTTGTGGGCACTGGATGAGTTTTCTGTCCTGTAAATCTGGGCTTGCATTTCACAGCAGCCGAACTTGCTCAGCAGAATGAAGAAATCCCTGCGGAAGTTCTTGGTGAAGATGGCATAGAGGAAAGGGTTTGCACAGGAGTTGATGGGGTAGAACAGGACCAGGAGGATCTTTGACTTGGACACGGTGATGAGGGGCACTTTGAGGGAGGCAGAGATGGCAAAGAAGGAGATGGGCGCCATGCAGAGGAAGTCTGTGAAGATGAGCACGGCCATGCGCTTGGCAATTTTGGTATCACTAGAGGAGGACACGATGTTGGGGTTCCTCACTGTGAGGTAGATGTGAATGTAGCAGCCACAGATCACCACAAAGGCCAGGACATTGAGCACAAGCAGGGACAGAACATACAGCTGTGACAAGGGGCTGTCAATATCCATGGGCAGGCAGATGCTCACCTTCATGTAGCTGCTGATGCCAAAGATGGGAAAGAGGGCGACTGCAGAAGCGAAGATCCAGCCTCCCAGCATGACACTGGCAGCATGGCGGAGCTGCACCCTGCATTCCAGCTGCATGGCATGGGTGATGGTGTGCCATCTTTCTAGAGTGATGGCTATTAGCGTGTAGACTGAGAGCTCACTGGCAAAGACAGTGAAAAAGCCGGCTGCGTCACAGCCTGCTCCAGTCTGCCAGTCAATGGCATAGTTGTGGTACTGGCTTTTGGTGTGGATATCGACAGATGCTATGAGCAGCAGGTAGATTCCAATGCAGAGATCGGCAAAGGCCAGGTTGCACATTAGGAACCGGGGGACTGTGAGTTTGTATTGGCTGGTAATCAGAATCACCAGCACCACAATGTTCCCAGTGATGGCCAGGATGCTAATAAACCATATCAAGATTCTGAGAATATCATACCCCATGATATCTTCACATGGATTGAATGCATCTGGTTTAGGAGAGCAAGTCACATCAACCACTTCACTGCATAAGCCATAGTCAAATTCACTGTACATCATGTCAAATCCTTTGGCATAACTGGACTCATCGTCTTCTGCCAAAGAGATTCTCTGACCCCTAGTCTGAGTCATACCATCAACTTCTTGCCTTAAAATAGATTTGTTGCAAATTGGATGACGCTCAGAACTAGAAAAATACACAAAGGAATAGAATCAGCATCCCGGATCCAAAATGGCAGATATATCACTGTCTTTGCATAGGGTAGGGATGATGGGGTTTCTTTCTGAGATTTCCCCCCTTTCTACCAGTCTGTCTGCTCTTGAGGCTGAGATCAAGGGTTAATGCTGCTTACTGTAAATGAGCAGAACAACTCGTGTATATATTCCTAGAGTTAGATGGCCCACTGGGGAAACCATCTGGCCACAACCTGAATGTGGGGAGGAAGGCGCCTGGGACTAGCTAAGCCTTAGCTGTTAAGTGCAAATAATTTACAGATTTCATATCAACTCTACTTCTTCCCTCCCCCATCTCCATTCAGCTATCTTTTAATATGCCCGAGTAGTGTCTATTCCCATTCCTATACTCTGTACTCAGGTCGCTGGACAGTTTTCTGACTCAAATTAGAACATACTTGCTTCTTTTGTCTACATAAATTGGAGGATCTGTCTGTGGTTAGTTCCCAGCCAGCCCCCGTCCCTGGCTCCTTGATACTTGGGTATTGGGAGACCTGCTAATTTGCTTGAAATGTTACTGAGGCTCCTATTATTATCTCACTCTCCAGGGGCCACAGTAGGCTTCAGACATGCATTTGTCCACAGAGTAAACCTGGCTCTCTCATATTAAATTGTTCCCTAATGAATGCGCCAAAGAGCAAATGCAGGTTGCAAGGGGCCCTGATTTATCCCAAGATTGTAAGTGATCTCCTGGTAGCTGGCTCTTCTTGGGCTCACTTTTCAGTCTCAGTTTTCCTTTTATACCCAAATGTACAAGAGGCCTTGTCAACAAGATAGGGGGACTTTCATAAGTGATGTGAATGACAGCCAGGTCAGAAATATTCTACCCAGACAGGTGAATTGCACAGGTAGAGACAGAGAGGGTAACAGTTCTGTTTTGAAGTGAAGGCTTCAAAGGAATGGGGATGTTTCACACTGGGTCTCTTTTATGATGCAACTGGGGACTTTGAGTTTGTATTGGCTGATAATCAGAATCACCAACTCTATGCTGTTCCCTAACTCCCTCCCTCCCAAAGGGACAAGCTCACAGCAACATAAATGACTGCCTTTCTCTCACACCTTAACATAGTTTCATGTAGCGGGAAGCGAGTGTTAAAATTCTTCAAAGACCCTCATAAGAAGGAGAGAATGGCTGAGGGAGTGGAGGAAGTAGAAATACCATTTGAAAGTCAAGGGTGAGTGCAGTCAAGTGTCCCAAACTGCAAAGACTGACTCCCCCCTGATGTCTAGGAGCAGGGTTGTTAGGGAGAATCCTTTCCTCTCTTTTCTTCTTCTGAGAAGTGAGTTGGTTTGCCAGGAAATCATTTTCTCTTGGCCCAAAGGACTCTCTCTCTTTTGGTTGTTGTTAGAGACTGTGCCATCTTTTGTTTTAGAGAGTAATAGGGCTTCTCACATCAGTCATGGATGGCACAAAGGGGGCTACACAGTTAGCATACATGTAATTGAAAATGCACAGAAAATCTTTTGTTTTAGTCAGAGATCTTACAAGAAAGGCGATGCAAGCTCAGAGATAGGCATAGAGGGGGCAAGAGAATACTCTGTGGTCTTTATTCTAACTTCTGACTCCCAAACCCTGTCACCGCTGTCATTGGATCAGTGACAACACAATCTACGAACAAAAAGTAAGTAATCTGGTTCCTGTAGACTATAATCTGTTCATTGGAACAAATCTGGCTTAACCATCTAGAGATAGCCTTCACTTCCCGGGGCTGATGTTGGATTCTGGGAAGATTCCTACTGTTGATACCATTACCAATATATTTTAAATATTTATACTTTCATTTCCCCAAATAGAAGTGACCCAACAACATGAGTGCAGAAAAGGTAAACAATGCATGTCTCTGAGAAAAGAGTAAAAACAAAGATGGAAACGAGGGAAACAACATCTTGCCCCTGCAGTCTTTTTGCAAATTCTAAGAATCAGAGAGTTGGAAATTCAGTTTAGGGTCAGTTGAGAAAGTGGTACTCTCAGACCCTGATAAATCAATGAACAGAGATTTGGGAAGTGCATGGTGGGGTGGCCCAGAACCTGAGCTTTGGAGACACATAGACCAGAGGGTTTGGATCTGAGTTTGGTTGGTGCTAGTTAAGTTCTTTATTGTCTCTGAGCCCCAGTTTCTGTCTCTGTGGGAAAGGAATAGAAATAGCACTGTTACCTTTGTGAGAATTAAATGAGATAAAGGTGCAAAGCATTACAGTGCCTGGCAGTGAGCCCTCAGCAAGTATCAGCAGTAAGAAGACAGATGATAGTGGCTACTATCATGCTGGGGTCTAGGCCGTCTGTGGGCACTTAGAGGCATATGTCATTGTGCATCAGTTAAAAAGATAGCTGTGAAGAAAAGGCCTAGATATGCGAGAAATTAAATAATAACAAAATAACGGTGCAAGCTAAGTATAACTGTGACAAGGAACTAACTGGTTCAGTAACAGATGAGGGGTGTGGTTAACAAATTCTTTCGGTGAGAGGCCAGGAGGGCCACTGACCAAAACCTCACAGTCATGAGGGCCTAATATTTACACTTTGGGCATTTCCAAATGAGGACTGGAAGAACAATTTCATCCTACAACTTTGAACTCGAATCTCATTACCAAACTACACCTAATATGGTATACAATGAAATGACACCATTAAAAATATCCTGTGGTTATCTTCTGAATAGCATAACTACGTTGTTTTTGTGTGTGTAAATGTGTCAATTAAAGACTAAACACCCACAGCTATTTTCTTTTGTTTTGGCATTTTTTTTTAGAAGAGGCATGGGCCTCTTCTTTGCTGTACCCGATGGGCTCTGATGGCAAGTTACCATAGGGACCTAGAAAGGGTGAGAACTGAGTGGTCTGGAGGGACCAGGGAAGGATCCCAGTGATGGGACAGTGCAAGGCCACCCTGGAGATTTCTGGTTGGGAGAGCCCTGAGGCTACATGTACACTATAGCAGGTGGCAAGACCAGAGGAGTAGGAGCAACACAGTAGATAATATATATTCCTGTGGCATATTGGCATGGGGCCCAACAGCATACCATGTGCTGTGCTTGCAGTGATCTTAATATCCTTTGAGATTTCTCCCGAGAGGCCTTCAGTTCCAGGATTTTGGCAGTGAATTGGTATATTTCTTGCCCTGGCTAGAACAACTCTTGTGTGGAATATAAAAGAGGCAAGCCTCCTGCCTCAGCCCAAGCCCTTAAGAATTTTAATCATTTGGAAGAAATTCCCTGGCCCTTGAGCTAATTGGTGAGGAGTGTCCAGTACTGGATTTTTTCCCAGTGAATTTGCATGCAAATTCTGAAAAGGGATCCCTTTCCTGAAAATCTTTCAGATGGGTCTGAGGGTGAACCTCTATTTACTTCAAAACCACTTTAAGATGTTTTGTTTGTAGTTTTTTTTTGTTTTGCTTTTGAGCAGGAGATATGTCTACATGAGCAGGTCCTCTATTATACATAATAGAGGACACTGCATTAAAAAGTGAAATAACGCCGTAACCGGTTTGGCTTAGTGGATACAGCGTTGGCCTGTGGACTGAAAGGTCCCAGGTTCGATTCCGGTCAAGGGCATGTACCTTGGTTGCGGGCACATCCCCAGTAAGAGGTGTGCAGGATGCAGCTGATCGATCTTTCTCATCGATGTTTCTAGCTCTCTATCTCTCTCCCTTCCTCTCTGTAAAAAATCAATAAAATATATTTACAAAAAAGTGAAATAACAGCACCATAAAGCTGTATCAGTGCTGGGCTACCATATAAGAGTGGTGACAAGGCATCACATGATTGCGTGTAGTGCATGCTGTGGATTGTATCGGTTCAGGGGTGGGTGAGAGCCCAGGGAACTCCTGGTATCCCATAATTCTATCTCCAGTGGATCCTTTGAATGTCTGGAACATGTGCAAGCTCCACAGTATTCCCTCTTCACTCTCTCCAGATCCTGGCAATGATTATTTCATTTTTTTGTCTTTGTCCAGTTATCTTCTAGGATACGGCTCTATTGGGATCACTTTTTTAAATCTGACCAAACTTGAAAGCCAAATGAACAGATGTCCCAAACTTTGTTCTCCCTGTGAGGTGCTAAAAGCCAAAGATGGATTAGAGAGGTTTAGCGTGGCTGGGATGTGCCATGGATGTGTGTGCATCAGTCTCTGGTGTGGTCTTTATGCTTCTTCCCTCCAAAGTTGACTTTGGTGGTTCCTGGGACACTTATGGGGCAAAGAGTTGGGACTTGAAGGATAAATCCATATTTAGAGGAAAAAGAGAAGAAATATTAATTTAGCATCAGCCATGCGTTAGGCACTACACTTGGTGTTTTTCATGTTACCTCATTTAACATTTGGTAGGTAGTCTACCATGGGGGTAGCCTTCTTCCGTGAGCCCATTTTCAGAGAAACTGAAAACCCTCCACAATACTGAGGCTTTGATCTAGAATATGTCTAAGGGCTTTCATCAGGAAGATCTCGCTTGTAGTGGATTCTCTTAATGCCACAGGTACATAGAAGTTGTGGACCAACTTCTGCATTGGAGAACTCCCAAGCAAGGCTCAAGGGGTGGGCAGGAGAAGACTCACATTTTCTGTCTCCAGTTTGCAAAGGCACAGCAGTGGCTGGGGTAGGTGAGGCTGGCCTCCGTGAGTGCAACAAGCTTTTCTAGACTGGGAAGCTTTTTTAAGTTGTAAGTCGACCTGGCCCGCAGCTTCTTAAGATTTTCTAAGCCATAGCTAGGCAGGGAATGGATCCTGGTTCTTGAAATATCTCTAAAAAGGGAAAAAGTAAACATAACCTGATTACCATGGGTCTAAAATTTTCTGCTCCATTAACAGGCAAAATAGCAGACACAGCAGTGATCCTCTTACATGGGTGAGGAGGGAGACTCCAATTCATCCAACATACCTCGGTCAGATCAATATTCTGTTAACAGGAATTTGGTTCAGTAGAAGCCCTGACCCTTGTGTTTGTGGTAGGAGTACTTAAGTAACAGGACACATTGAATTCTGAATATACTTTCATCCTGGCTGATCTGGGGCTTAAATGTAGCCCTCTCCCTTTCTATAGTCTATAGAATAGACCAACAAATTTGCATAGAAGTGAGGGATTCTGATAATCTCCTTCCCACTGTGAAACCAGCTTAAAAATAGTTCTGATAAGCTGGGGTGGAATCTATGGCCAAATATCAGAAAAGGATGAGAAGAGAATACACTGTAAGGGGAAGAGGAGTCTGGTGAGTAGTAGAGACACTCTCAGCACAAAGTCAAAATGGCAATGACTTGCCTGCATATGTACCCTGCCCCTCTACCTTTCAGATTTGTGGCCTTGCTCAAATGTCACTTCTCCATGTTTCAATTTCCTCAGTTATAAAATAGGAATGATAATAATCATATCTACCTCTGAAGGTTGTTGTGAGAATTAAATGAGCTAAATAAAATACACGAAGAACTTCCTGGGCAAAAGACAGCACTTGGCTAGCAGCTATTATCCATAAATTAATAAATCTCTTTCTCTCTCACACATCACATGATCAGAGACAAAACAGCAAGATTTCTGAAACACAAAATTGTGAGCAAAGTGGAACGATTTAAGCTACTAAGTTTTAGGGTAGTTTTTATGCAGCAGTGGCAAACCAAAGCATACTCCCATTGAAGTCTCTGTGATTCCATCATCTCGATCACTTTTACCAGTTGTAGAAGTATTTTTCCTTGAAAGCCAGGAGGAGCACAATAGCATTAGGTTTGTATGCTTTCTGCTTCTCTCACCACTTACTATCTTTTGCTTTATAAAGTAGCTCTTTGTATTTGCATTTTATCTCTCCTAGAGGGCAGAGGGTTCCTTGCTTTCCAAACAGTGCCTTTCACATTGCAAGCACCCAGGAAATGGTTGTTTTGTTTGAAGATAGGCTGGGGAGTAACACTGAAGGATTGGGGAAGGGAATAAATAGATCACCCCAGCCAACTGTGATGTCTTCTAACCTCTAGCAATTACAAAGAATCGTGTACCTTGTATTATCTCTTCTATGCTTTCATATTGTTTGACTTTTCATGTATATTTGTTTTGTCTCCTCGGCCAGACTTCAGATGCTCTAAGAGCAGGGATTATTAAGATATTTTTGTGTGCTACATCATATCTGGCACATGGCTGTGCTCATGAAATCTACTCAATAGATACTTGTCTGAGAGCAGAGATGCCTCAGCATCATAATAACAATGAGAGGCTGGAGCAAGTCTTACAGGGGAGCAATTTAAAAAAAAAGAAATATGCAACATAGACTGAGAGAGGAAATCTGGATTTAAAGGGAGCTCAGCAAAAGGGTGTTTCTGCAGCAGGCAGCTGTTTGTGACTGACAGCATCAAAGGCACCAGGAAAGGAGCAACCTTGCGCAGTTTACAAGGAGATAGAATAAATAGGATAATGTGTGGGGTGGGTTGACGTGAATGCAATCCAATGCCTTGGTGTTTGATTGGGAACCTATTAGGGAAGCTCTGGTGCCTTTCTGTCTGCTCAGTGTTCTGGAGTCAGCTGATTCCTCCTTTTCAGCTGCAGAATCTGTGAGCTGCTGTCATTTGCACCAGGTGGCTTTGTTGCCATGAGACTAAGGCATCTTGTCAAAGTCCTGGCACCCAGATCTTCTCCTGGTTGATGTTGAAAGGAGGGAATGGTTGGTAGACACTTCAAGAGTTTGATAAAGCAAAAGACTTTAGTACAAGTGGTTCCTGGGTGGTTGGGAAATAAAAGTGTTTGTAGATGTGTTTGCTTAAAGGTTACTGGATACTTGCTGAAGTTAGCAGACATGGGAACTTTCAAGACTTCTACATTTTGGACTGGCAGAGAAATATTTCTCTGGTTTCTCCAAGGAGTAAGAAAAGTTCATAGAAATTTATGTCAGCAGTGATAAAGATAAGAGGATACTGTTCAGTGTGATTTGACACTTAGCAACAGATAATATTCACACACACACACACACACAAATACAAACACATGGGCACACAGACACACACAGTCCACTCCCTGGCTATGATTCTTCCATGTGGCCTGGAAATCTAATGTTAGGTTTTAATTCCTGTGTAAAAGCACTTCCCACTCTTAGGATGCAAATATCCCTGGGGGAGTAACAAAATAAGACATTATCAGTTATTCACATCTCATGGAAGTAGGTTATTATGATTATAGGATAAGGTAGGCTTGTTGAGAGGCCCAGAGCACAAAGTGTGGCAGTGAGAGGTTTTCAGAAGGATTATTCTGGGCAACCAAGATTATTCTGGATGAAAGGGGGGAACCATAGGATGGGATTTGAACCTTGAAAGCCAGGTATCAGAGTTTAGAATTTATATAAGCAGAAGAATGGCTTATTGAAAGCTGTGCTTTTATAAGATTAGTCTTGAGAACCTTGAGCGTGGCACATAGTAGGTGCTCATAAATACTTGTTAAATGAGTCAGAAGGAGAAAGGATTGAAGATAGGAAGGAGACGAAGGCTGATGCAGAAGTTTAGGCATAAGCTAAGAGCTCACCTTCCCACCCACTGTCACTTCATCTGTTAAAAGTCACTGTATCACATGACAGAGATTTATTGGACACCTGCGATGTTACTATAACCTGTGACAATTTCTGCAGAGCTTATTGTTCTGGGCAGTGACATTTGTCCCTCTACAGGATACTTCAGTGCAGGTACTATTTGTTCTTAAGTCCCTTTATCCCCTACACCTAACATAGTATCAGGCACATAGTAGGTACTGAATCAACATCTACTACATGTATAACCTGTAAGGCCTAATATGCTCAATGAATAGTTGAGAATGTTTGCTTTATTGCTGACATGTATAGGGATGGTGGGCTGGGCAAGGGGACAGGGGTAGTCTTGGGTGGGCTGGTGTTTTTAATCCTCGTCTTCCTGGTTGGTTTAATGGCTGCAGTCATAAGATGCCATTCTGGTTGACATTTCAGCACATGCTACGTTTTGGCAGTGACTGGTTTTGAGAATTTAAATCCTGACATGTACCAATGGGAGTATTCATGGATGATGGCTGGCGCTGAAGAGATTTAGTAATCCTAAACTGTTTCAACATTGTTAGGATTCTTGATTTTGAGATGTGAAGTGGAGAGGGAGACAGCAGTCAGTAATAAGACGCTGAGTCAGGAGAGGCAGGAGTTAAATTGTGCTCTGTGCCCCGTTTAATAAAGTGTGTTATAGCTAGCGCCACAAATTTGATTTGAACAATTTCTATTTTTCCCAGCAAAGATGTTATTATAGGTCAATCATTTCCATAAGTGCCAGCACATTTCTGGTGTGTACTACACTGACAGATGGTTAGAAGACCTCTCTTTCATGATCCCAGGCGGAATGAAAAGGCAATTTACTGTCTATAGGACTGTGGGTACACTGGTAATGGAAGAGAATCTTTCTTATACAAATAACTCAGTGTTTGAATCTCAACTATCAAATGAATCTGAACTATAGCCAAATCAATTTGATAAACTATCAGAATATGATTGTACTGGCTCCAGCTTGCAAAGGCAATGCATTAAAATTTTCCCACAGGAAACTGTTTCCTAAAGAAACAGCAATTACTTGATTGCTTAAGAAAACAAACTTGAGTGAGTGCAGAATATCAGGTGAAAACTCAAATGGCCACTGGCATTCAAGGTCAAGACTCATGAGGGGGAAATCAGGATGCTAGGCTGCTCCTCTGAAACCCGATGCAGCTTGTCTGTGTGCCCCTGGCTTTCTCTGAATCTATTTCTCTTTGCAATGGAACATCTCGCCCTTGTACCCTCGGGTGTCCAGAGGCTCCCTGTTTTACACTCAACTAACATTTTTGCCTTCAGGAAAGGAGTTCTTATTGTTTGGGTGCCCTCCCCTGAACTCCCTTAGGATTCCTTGCACATGCCTGCGGTTGGGGAGGAAGATTCACACCGCTGGCTCATGGAAGAGAATGTATAGAAACAGGGCGAGGCTTCTCATGCCCCAGCATTGGTGCAAAGGCAGTGGTTCTGTGCTGTGAGGACCAGCAATGTCAGCTGGGAAGTTCTCAGAGCTGCAGTTTCTCAAACTGTCCTCCCCCCTAGTCCTGACTTGCTGAATCAAAAACTCTGGGTGTGGGGATCGGCTCTCAAGGCTTTCCCCAGCGCTCCGGGTGAGTCTGATGTATGGTCAAATTTAGAACCACTGCTTGAGGGCAGTTGTGCACCATCTCACTGCTGAGATGGCTCATAGCTGAGCTCTACTTTGGGAATTGCCCTTGTTTGACTTACCCAAGATTTGGCTCCTGCCCAGGGACAGCCTGCACCCTGTAACTGCTGATGAAGAGGACTGGCCCCTTGCCTTAATCCAGTACAACTTTGAAGGGCCATCTTAACTCCAGAGCTCCCCGTGGGATCAGCTGAGGCCTCTGTTGCAAATGCATTGCTGTCAACTTCTCTCTTTGCCTGAGTTTTCTTCCATCAAGCACTTCCCAGTAAACCCCCTGCATGCAAATATCCATATCACAGTCTCATTGGCAGGGAGAGGAATCTGACCCAAGGCACAGTCCCAGCACTAGCCTGGGTGGCATCTCCTGTGGGCTGAGCAGTCTGTACACACTCCTTCTCCTACCCATCAACCCACAGCACCTGGAGTGGGCAGGTCTTCTGCACATACCTTACCAAGTAGCTCCCAGGCCAGGGTTTAGCTTGGGTTGGCACATCAGGTTGCACAAGTAGAAGATGGGAAAGGCCATAGTCCCAGGTCAGCAAGCAGAGAGGCTGGAAAGACATCTATGGACTAACCTAAAAGCCCCAGAATGGGAGCCTTGATGTTAAGGTGATCAATCTTCTTCCCTCTAAAGGGAGGAGAAGGACACTAGCAATTACTATAGGATAGGCGGGGATCTTGGCCAGGATCTTGCATATATATGCTCATGCATTGAGATTGAAAGGCGGAGGAATGCAGTATCATTCTCTACCCTTTTAAGTCATGGCAAGTGCTCATAGTTCCTTTGGATTTTCTGTAAATTTCATTTACTTCTTTTTGGCCAGGTATGTTCCTATGGTAAAAAGGGTGAAAAATGGGCCTGTAACTTGAGGACCCTCCATAGCTGCCTGTTGTGGTGACATCCCATTTCTTGCCGGCCGTGTGGTCAGGCAGCGGGTGGCCTCCGACGTGTTCTCCATCAGACCCTCTGAGGGCACACACTGCGCACACTGTGCCTCAGCCTGGGACCGGCTTGTACAGCCACAGGAGACAGTCTTCTGTGCTGTGTGTATGTTCTTGGGCTGGGAGCCTGGTATTTATAATTATTCCCTCCTCTGTTTTAGTTCGCAGCCAATGGCAGGGGCCTTATCTAATTAGATATATTTCTGTACTTGAGGTAACATGAGATTGTGGGAATACATGGCACGTGAGGCAGAAGACCTAGTTTCTGGTCCAAGCTCTGTGGCTTATGGTGGTAGTTTGATCTCTAGCGGGTCACTTCCCAGGATAGCGAGCTAGTTGGGGATTCTGTCCAACTTGAATGTTCTCGGTAGCAGTCAGTGGTGAAGGTGCTATGACTTAATAGTGCACCTGGTACAGGTGACATATGGAAAGCTATCCTTCCTATCACAGGTATGTTCGGCCATAACAGAGGGAGGTACCTATTTAGGAACATTCAAGCACCTTAGGAATTTTAGCTATGTGAATTGACAGACTGCTTTTCTGGTTGTCAGATATGTCCAGAGCACTTTCTCTAAGTGTATTTATCTTCTGAGTACGCTAAGAATAGGAAACATTAATTAAGCATTACAAGTTCTAAGCACTTTGTGTAATTGGGCCCATGGACTATGCCCGGCTCTCTTTATTTGTTATGCTCTTTTCTATTTGGTGTTAATATCATGCATCATGGCCTGATGTATTGTTATATGCTTAGTTAGGGTCTGACTGGCCATTATTAGAATATAAGCTTTCTTTGAGAAGGAGCTTTCTTTTGTCTCCTGCACTATATATGGTGTATGGCACAGGGCTGGTTCTTAATATCCACCTGTTCAATGAGTGAATATATAAATATGCACATACACACATTTATGTACATAAATAGTATTGTTAAGCCTCCAATAGTATTAGGAATAAGGTATTATATAGTTTTTGCCACTTTATTTTGGTGAGGAAATAACGGCTTGCAGAGGGGAAGGAACTGGCTTTAAACCCAGGTAGTCTGTCTGGCACCTCCCCTTTCATCATGCTCACACTTCTTCCTTTTGCTTATATTTCTTTGAACTTTTTTTCTTCAAAGAGGCAGAGTCTCATGTACTGGTTACAACACATCCTTTGTCATCAATATCAACCATTTTATGAATTTCTGCTTCACCCTATAGGGCAGTGATGGCGAACCTTTTGAGCTCGGTGTGTCAGCATTGTGAAAAACCCTAACTTAACTCTGGTGCCGTGTCACATATAGAAACTTTTTGATATTTGCAACCATAGTAAAACAAAGACTTATATTTTTGATATTTATTTTATATATTTAAATGCCATTTAACAAAGAAAAATCAACCAAAAAAATGAGTTCGCGTGTCAGAGGTGTCATAGGTTCGCCATCACTGCTATAGGGTCTAGTGTTATTTGTAAACACACTAAGCCCAATAGGGAAAAGAACCTAGAAGATACATAAGTTCCAGCCAGAGATGAATATAAACTTTTTGGTGAAAATGAAAGTGATGTTGATAGGTGATAGGTAGGAAACCACACATAGTATATTATTCTGACTGCTGAATAAGAGGTATACTGGTAGACGAGTGGCTCCCAGATGCTCACTGACCTTAGACAGCTATATAGGACCACCTAGAAAACCTTTAGATTTATTCATGTGTTTATCTTTTTTTCTCTCATTATTTCTTCTCGCATCTGACTCCTTCCTTCTGGGTTCCTTCTTTCTTCCTATAGTAAATTCATCAGTAGGTGTAGTAGGTCTTGCTTAGAGCCCTGGAAAACACATTTTCTAAAAGCTCTTGCAGATTTTGGTCCTTGCAGCCATGAAGGCTGTGGGAGTCACAGAAGGAAGAATTCACTGTTGGCCGAGGGAAGAGGTGGGAATTAGGATGACCCTGTGGAAGGGCAGAGGCAGATGAGAAGAGAATAAGGGAAAGTCACTCCTGGAGGGAGAGAGGGAGATGTAGAAGCAATAATAGAGACAAAGGTGCTGATGCAGGACTATAAGGCACTGAATGAATCCCAGGAGATCTGGAATCGAGGTAGCGAGGATTCAAAAATGGATGTGTGTGTGTGTCTCACTGGGTGAGGAAAAGTTCTGTGCATTTTGGATAAGGAAGGAATGTGCTCTCCCTTCCAGGGAAGAGGAATCTGGCAGAGTAGTTAGAAGTCTGTACTGAGTCAGACCAGTTTGGTGTTAAAGTCCTGCTCTAAAATTTGTGCGACTGTGGATGAGTTAGTTAACCCCTCCAGGGAAGCCAGTTTTTCCTTCTCTAAAATGAGACTAGTAGGGTCTACTGCAGAGGTTATTATAAGGATTAAATTAGAAAAGGCATCTTACACTTTTAAAACATTGGGACTTGGTAAGTGCTCCTTAAATGTTGTTAATCACTGAAAGTTAGAATGTGGACCAGCCCTAAATTGTCCCTATATTTTGCAGATGACAGACCAAAATTGACCTGGATTGCCAGCCCTATCTTGAAGCTTTTATGAATTGGAGAAAGTTGACTTCTAACTTATTTTTACACGCTGATCTCTTGTGCATGGTAATGGGACAAGCTACTCACAGAATGACTGGTCCAGAGGCTCCCTGGAAAACATCATTAGGCAATTCTTCCAAATTGTTGTTGTCACTTAGATTCCTAGGGATGGAGTGGAGGAAGGAAGAAGGGAAACACAAAGCCACATAAACATCACTGTTCTAAGAGCCATTTCCTCTCAATGGCCTGGAAGAACAGTCAAGGTCTACTTACAGCTCATCTAGTTGGGTTCCATTGAATGCACAGCTGTGGATTTCTTCAATCCCATTCTTACTCAGCCATCTGAAATAAAATGCCCATTGAAAAAACCAATAATGTCAGATGCAAACAATACAAGGTTTCATAATTGGAAGCACTGGGGCAAGGTCAGACAGTGCAGGTTAGTGACAGAAATACAATGACACCCTAAGTCTTGGGGATGGGGTGGATGGGAGACTGATTTATCACCGCATAACCTTTTGAAATGTTTGACATTCGCATTGTGTGCATGTATTACCTATTCAGAGAAATAAATGAAATTTGATTTTGAAAAGGCACACTTAGGCATAGCAGCCTGGCTCCTGTAAGGTCTTGGCACACATCATTTGCGTGCAGAGATGATGCCATGGGGGAGCTGATGGAAATCCTCCTCCCGAAGGACAGAAATCAAACGACGATTGAACAATTGTTTATAAGACAGCGAACATTTTGTATCCCCTTTCTCTGAGGCCTTAAGCCTCTTACCCATGCTCACCCACAGCAGCATGCCTGGCTGTCATCACAAAGTGATCTAATTAAGCTGTCACACAACCTGAACATCTCCTGTAACCCACAGGGACCTGGTTATTGGAGGTTTGTGGAGGTGGCTCTGGGTTAAGCCAGAAAGGAAGAGAAATCAATTACAGAGACTGGGTTGTGGCGAGGCGAGGTGGTGTGAGTGAGCATGGAGGAGGCTGTATATGGAACAGGCATCCTGACTGTGCAAAGAAGGTCAGTGAGCAGATTTCCCTGGACAGGGAACCCAGGGACACCTTGGGCCATCAGCTCTGCATTGCTGTGTTCCTGGGTGGATCTGGAGACAAAACTAAAATCCAAGGGCGGGAGAGCTTAGCCCAAAGAGCCTCTGACCACCTGCTTTTGATGTGCTGTCAGGTTCTTTTCCCTGAGGGGCTTAGTGGGTTTACAAATAACACTGTTCACAAGCTGGCCCAGAGAAGCTCCTGCATACTCAGGACGCTAGCTTCTAGACTGCATTGGATGGCTAGAAGGCGCCGAAAATCACAGGAGAACAACTATGATCTGTTTCTTCTTCCTGGAAGCCAGTTTAGCTGAAAAATCCAGACCTGAGCAAGATAAATCTTTTAAAGCATTAGCATTCAATTGGTGGCTTCTAATGGTTTAGGAGTAACAATGCACCTCCCCCCATATCCTGCCAGCCCATCCCCTACCCAGGAGAAAGCCTGGCCCAGGCACATCCAGCCTCCTGACTTCTTTGTCAGCCCCTCACAGAGAGTGAGAGTTGCTGGAGCAGCTGCCCCTACCTGTGGGATCCCTAGGGGTTTTTGGATCAAACACAGGAGTCAGCAAACTTTTTATGTCAAGGGCCAGTTAGTAAACGTTAGGTTTTGTGGGCCAAGAGGCAAAATGGGGATTACTACATAGATACATTATAATATTCACTTATAAAATAATTTCCACAAAATTTTTGACCAAATTTAAAATATAATAGTAATAATTGAGTACATTTTTTTTTGGGGGGGGGATATAAGTTTACTATTAAAAATAGTAATTGTTTCTTTCCATGGGGATAGCATTTGGCTTAATGTAGGTTAGATGTAATTGCTTCTATCATCAAAATGTTCACTTGTAGAAACCAGCATTAGCTCATGGGCCATGGTTGGCTGACCTTTAATCTAACACAGGGCTGTGTAAATCCAAATGGGCTCCATCTGTTTTTCTGTAGAATAGATATTATTTTCTGAACACATATGTCCTACAAATGGATGTCACTATGAATAAATAATACACAGACCAATTTAAAAGAATGATTATATTCAAAGTAGTCCTTTTGTCTTTATGTATTATCTCAATCAACAGATACCATTATATGGGGTGGTGATGGTGGTGGTGTTATTTTTTATGCCAACAGTGAATCATCGTACAAAAAAACAAACTGTCCAGCACTCCTACCCTGGGGTTTACATTAGGCTGTTGACTCTCAAACAACTAACACAGAGAAGACAACATTTATTAACTACATTCTTAGTCTCTTAAGAGAAGTATTGCTGGTTTTAAAATAAGATGAGGATGATGATGATGATGATGATGATGATAGCAATGATGACAACCTGGACAGAGCATCAGCAAAAGATTAACCAAGTCATGGTGTCCTTAGAGTGTTCACTCAGTAGAGGGTTAGGAGGCTCCAGAAACAAAGTCTGTCTTCAGCCTACAGAGTCAAGGTGCTGGCCCACGGAACTTCATTGAGAGGCAAGCAGGTGAGATGGAAGCCAATGAGGAAGGAAGGAAATTCACCTGGAGTGAGCCTGTCTTGTGGTCAGGGTGTGCTGGGAACTGGCATGCATGTAACATTATTTTTTTTCTGAATTATGCCAGTCTGCTGATTGGCCATAACTAGGTACTTTCTCCATTCAGACCCTCGGGTTGTAGGAGCAGATGGTGGTGGGGAAGGATTCGGAGGCCTCCACAAGGTAGGCTTTTACTGCTATTTCCCCCAAGGCACTAGTCAACTGACAATCCTTCATTATTGGATATATATTTATAAGTATATATATCTATATATATAAGTATATATATCTATATCTATAATAATAAAAGCATAATATGCTAATTAGACTGGACAGCTGAACGACCTTCTGGATGTCATTCTGGACATCCTTCCAGACGAAGCTACAGTGGTGGGGACTGAGGCAGAGGCAGTTAGGGGTGATCAGGCAGGCAGGCGAGTAGTTAGGGACAATGAGGCAGGCAGGTAGAGTGGTTAGGGGCAATCAGGCAGGCAGGCAGGTGAGCGGTTAGGAGCCAGCGGTCCTGGATTGTGAGAGGGTGCAGGCCAGACTGAGGGACACCCCCCCCCCCTGCACGAATTTCATGCACCGGGCCTCTAGTCTATATATCTATATATCTATATCTATATCTATATCTATATCTATCTATATCTATCTATCTGAATAGGGCCTCAGGATTTTGAAAAATGCCAATGCACTGAGAACTTTTTCACTCATCAGTGCCATTTGTCATGCATTTTTTTTCTGCATGTACTTGGATGTCCCTGGTGGGAGGAAGTGCTCCTGTGTCCAGTCATGGCACCCAAACTAAGAATAAGTGGCATCTTAAGCTGTGTTGAGTATGGATCTTCTGATTCTATTATTTGTGGACTAAGAACCATCTGAAGTAAGAAAAATGGATTTTGTTCTCACAAATGTGACTTTATCCTTAGAGACATATCTGACAAGTTTTAATTCTTTGGAAAGGAAAGTATGTTCTGAATTCTGAGGAACCACAGTGTCCATGAATAGGAGTTGGGAAAGAGCAGTTACGTTATGCACATTTCGTTTGTAGGTTTGGGTTTGCAAGGATCCTTCATAAATTCTTATTCCCTCAGGCCTTTGCCTCCACTTGGGGAGAGGTAAAGCTAAAAGGGCTAGGATACTTCGCCTTCTGTCTTAGGTTCTGGACAAAAAAGATGTATGTTAATGTGCAAAACTGTGAGAATGACAGCCCACTCCTGCTTAATTATATCTTTTCTAGAAAGATATTCTATTGATAAATTTGCCATATTATAATATTAACTAATTTTGAATTACTGAGTTTAAAAATAATACATATGCTTAGAGAAAGATTTAAAGAAATGCCAACATACAGGTACAACTGGTTACATTGGTCACTAATCTTCTCCCTCTGTACTGTGGCCCAGGAATCCTTTTTCTGTTGTGTTTGTGTTACACGTAATGGGCAGGTACTCATTAGTTTCTAAAAGCTCCTTTTACCTTTTTCTTTTTTAACCTCCATGGTCTTGATGATTCTGCTTCCTCTGCTTACCCTTTGCTCTGCCTAACCCCACTCATCTTTTAAAGCCCAACTGGACACAACCTCCTTTCTCAACCTTCTTTTCCTCATTTTAACTTTTTCTTCAACCTTCACATCACAGGCCAACCAGAATAAAATTGTCTTCTTTATTTTTAGAATAGTTGCTTTTACTTTGCATGTCTTTTATTTTGTTTGTATTTTAGTTAATTTCTTTTGCTTTCTCATTCTCTCATACTTGCCACACCTTCATCAGCTCATTCCAACACACACACACACACACAAACACACACACACACACACACACACACACACAAATTCCAATTACCAAGAACATATTAAGTGAAAGGATTAAGTATTATTCATCTATAATTTTTATTCTAATACTGTGTACTCTGAATATATGCCTTTGATTTTATTTTTTTCCTTCTCACATCCAATTCCTCTGCTAGTCTCTTTCAAACCTTTTCCTTTTTTCTCTAACTTATATCAAATACTGTGCTTAGCTTTATTCTTAACTATGCGCTTATCTCTACTATTTCTCCCTCTCCCCCTCCCTCTCCCCCCTCCCTCTCCCCCCTCCCTCTCCCCCCTCCCCCTCCCCCTCTCCCTCTCCCTCTCCCCAGCTGGTCATATTATTGTTTTGAAAAGGATGAAAATTCTTTCCAGACTGAAACTTACCTTTTGTACACATTGGCATATTAAAAACACACGTATAGATTTTTAAAATAATACAACAATGTGTGAAATAGAAAGATAAAATGCTTTCCTTACAGATGTAATTGCAGTTACTGGTTCCCTAAAAGTCATCTGTTCATCTGACTTCCAAGGATCTCACAAACACTTGGGGAGCCCCTAGAGCCCTATTTCTTGGCCATCGGGGGAAGTGGCTACACTGCCACTCAGGATCCTGGCACAGAATATTAGAAGGTAGTTCACTAATGACACAAAGTGCATTAAGAACTTTCCCAGAAGTCAGATGGAATAACTCAAGCTCATTAAAAAAACGTGATTGTTCCAAGAAAATGAGAAGTCATCTTATGCTCAGCGTGGGACTGAATGGAGCTGCTTCGCATAGTTCTCAGGGAAGATGCGTATCTTCCTGGATTCAGCCTCCTTCCTGTCTTTTTCTTTCGGCAACAAAAGCCTTGCCAGGCAATAACTAGCTTTATTGATGCGTGAGCTATTCTGTCCTTCTGAACAGATGTTGCATCACAGGAGACCATCATTCAAAGAGCAATTTTAAATACTTGAATCACACCACAGCTTCATACATTATTAACACGATTCCATGTTGTGATTCTGAAATGCAAAGATGAGCCATGAGAGAAAAACACAGAACCAGGGAGAAATTTAAATGGTGAGATGCCAAAGTTACCCGGATGAAAAACGAGTATCCTGTTATGAGAGAGATGATTAAATGAAAAACCAAACGGTCCTCCACTGGATTTTGTTTTTCTCTACTTACAGAATTAGACTTTCAAAACTCAGTCCCATGAAAGAATTTCTTCCCACTGTGTGGATGTGTATATTGTCTTGAACATCTCTAGAAGAAAGTGCAGACGGATTAGATGTTTAGTTAGCTCCACTCACGTGACCTTCCCACTTTTAGTTACTTGGCATAACGTAGTCTTTAGCTGAGGTAATATTTCAATCATTATATCTGAACAATGATGAGTTCAAAGTTTGGGAAATAAATGACATCTAAGTTACCTTTATTATATTAGTTATTAACAATGGAATTATATACATGTAAGATGTTCTCTTTGAAAGTTTTCTCAGCTAATTTCACTGTGTTAAGGTCCTAACATTTATTGTTCTTGTCTCCACAGCTGGTGTCTGCTCAAATATGACAAAACACCTAAGCTGACCTTTCAGCTCCATCCCAAACTCCCCCATTCACCTTAGTTGGGCCTTCGTCTTCCTCCCACCTCCATCCCCTTCTTATGCCAGTTTCCTGTCTTCTGTTCTCCTGGGGTCACAGGAAAGTGTTATCATTGGTTTTTCTCTCCTGAACAAAAGGCTGGAGAAAGTCTCATTTTTCTGTCTTCCCTGTGGGGTCTGATCTAACATATAAACGTAGAAGTAGTAAATTGCTCAGAATAATCTGAGAAACTTTGGGAGATTCTCTATCTTTCTTTGTCCCTCTCGATCTCCATTTCCTCTCCTTCCTCCTTAGCTGCCTATGTACCCCCCCCCCCCGCCCCCCCGCCACCATTTCCATTTCCTTCTGGGTCTGTTCAGATTCTTACAACTTCACATTATACATTGCCTTTCTCCTCCTCTTTCAAAGTCAGGTGCCTTGAGAAAAGGCAAATACATTATGTCACTAATATAGTTTGAATTTGTTTGTCAGGTGGTTTCTTTAGTCCTGGAGCAGCATGGGCATTCTGGGGGGAAGAAGAAAGGATGGTGGAAGACAGGGACGTTTCAGGGGAAACCGTATACCAGGCACTAAATAGCAAAGGCAGGAGAGACTGCTTGGTTTGCTACAAGCTGGCTCTGTTGACACCTGTCCTATTGAGGAGCCTGCTGACTTCCTCCAGACTGAGATTAGAGGCCTTTAGGTAAAACCAAGGCCATTCGCTGTTTGCCTTCCTAGCTCTGCTCAGCCAAAACAACATAATTGGAAGATGCAGACTAAACAATGCATATTACAGGCCCAGAGGCTGATGGGCAAGACAGCTCCCAAGTAAAGTGTTGGTAACCACTCAAGGAGAAACTTACAGTAGAACCTTTTGGAGAGATTGAATCTTGTGAACAGTTGGAAAGTGCTTAATACCCGTGTTGGATATTAACCTAGAGAGAGAGAGAGAGAGAGAAAGAGAGAGAGAGAGAGAGAAAATGAGAATGAGGTAAAATAAAACTGGCTATTTTAACAATTGCTAAAGTATAAGCTTTTTATGTTTAAAATATTAATTTTGAGCTATTAGAAAAACGTACCAGAAAAATCCCATAATATATATGAATCATACTTACATTTTCTATTTTAAGGTTTTAACTAAGGCCTAGTGAGCTATTGAATCCTTAGAGAAGAGAAACTTGCACCTCAGGCACTCAGGGGCTAGTATGCCACAATGCAGACTTTTTTTTTTTTTTTAAGATTAAGAAGTCAGTATGATCCAAAAGATTAACCAAAGAACTTATATGCATATATTCATAACCAATGGACACAGACAATAGTATGGTGAAGGCCCGGGTGGAGGGCAAGTATGGGCCACAAGGAGTCAATGAGGAAAAAGGGGACATCTGTAGTACTTTCAACAATAATGATTAAAACCTAACCAAAGTGTGTGCTTTTCAACTAGATAACAAAATTTTCCCAAATCATTTTTTGTTTCTAATCTCCTCATATTCTTTGGAGAACTGTCTCTCCTCCATTCCAAATTATTCGGTTGAGATTAGAGCATGAGTTCCATGCCTCTCCACAGCAGGGTATGCATGTAACTGTCTCCTGGGAAAAGGTTGGAGTCTGGTTAGAGTCGAGTTGGTATATATTTGATAATATGAGTTCAGAGAGTTTGATTTGGGGGGAATGAAACAGGGAGGGAGGAAAGATAAGTAATACCAGGATAAGGTATTGAGTTGGCCACCACAATTGGTGACTGGTACTTAATGCCAAGGACTTAATTTAGAAGTTTTCAAGAAGGATCTCAGAACTGTTCCTCTGAATAAGGGACAAGGGAAAGCATTTATCTATAGACTACTATTTCCTGTTGGTCCAATGTGTCCTAATGGTCTTAACTCTCTGCTTCTGCCTCGCACACTGAGAGTGCCCAGTGAGTTCCTACTGGGTATCCTAGAGTGGTATGAAAGAGTGGTAATCCCCAGGATAGAGTGGTACACAAGGCCAGCCTGGGTGCTGTTCAGTTTGTACCTGCATTGAGCTGGTTGACATTTGGGTGGAGCTGGGTGCCACAGCAGTCGTGGAGAAGGCTTTCAAGTGACATCTGAGAGTTGTCTGACACACTGTTCCTCAGCGTTTCCCTCACTCTTGTGAGTTACTCAGAATCCTTCCCATACCTCCCCGCTCCCGTTTACCTTTCCTGTGTGTGGCTTCCTAAGCCAGAGTTGGTCATGATTGCGTCAGTCGAAAGAACCTTCACTGGTGCTCTCATCATTGTGAAGGATTGTGTCTTTGGGGGCTTATGGTCTTAGAGTAGTCTTTGGTGTCTTGTTCTCTGTATTTAAAGAGTCAGGGAATTCTTCCTATGGGCTCCCTGTAATGGTTCTCAAATCTTTTGGTCCCTCTTCATTCCTAATGATCTATATAGAACCCATCTTGCTCAATTCTTCTTTTGATTATGTACTTCAGCCACCCTTGAGATGGTCTTCCAATGCTTTTTATTTGGGGGAAGGGATTGTTAACATGCTATACCTAGCACCTGCGAATTTATTTCTGTTCCTGAAATTTTGCCTTTTATAAAATGTCATATCAGTACAGTTATATATTGTGAAATTTTTGAATCTGGCTTCTTTCACATAGTATAACACACTTGAGATTCTTCCATGTCGTGGTGTGTTCATTGCATTTTATTGTTGAGTAGTAGTCCATTGCATTGATATACCATAGTTTATCCATTCACCTTCATTATGAAGGGCACATAGGTCATTTCTACTTTTTGTGGTTATATAAAAAAAGCTTTTTAAACATTTGTGTACTGTGGGAGGAGGGAGGAGAGGGAAGGAAAACATTTTTATTGGGTAAATTACTGTGAGTGGGATTTCTGGTTAGTATGGTAAGTGAATGCTTAACTTTGTTAGAAACTGCCAAACTGATCTCCAAAGTGGCTGTACCATTTTGCTTTCCCACCAGCAATGTATGTATAAGAGTTCTAGTTGTTCTATATCCTTTGGTTATTTTAAAAAAATATATTCTTTGAATATAAAAGTAATATCTATTTATTGTGAGACTTATGGAAAAATTTGGGAACATCTTCAGAAGAAAGTAAAAATCATCTTTAGTTTCACTACTGAGAGATAACTTCTGTTAACCTTTGGAGTTTGATGTGTCATCCAGAACAATTAGCTTTCATGGTTGCTTTCTATAACCTCTGCAATTCTACTCATTCCCAACAGAAACATTGCCATAACTAAATACCTACTAGCTTGGCACAGTCCTACTCCACATTTGTTATTTAATCATAGCAGCCTTTTATTTTTAGATCTCTTCTCATGTGTCTATGCAACATTCCCATAATGAAACATCAAAACAAGGATCACATTTAATATTTTCTGACAATCTATTAAATCTGTGTGTAGATTTGGAATGCATTATGTGTTCATAAAATATTGAGTTAATTGGTTGCTGTTTCAAAGATGTTTCTTGCTTTTTTTCACCAAGAATGTATCAAAATCCTAGTTAACATACTTGTCAGGTATCACTGCTACTTGGAGTAATTAATCTTAAACAGGGGCAGGGAGTTTTGGAGGTCAGGGATCAGGAGAACCAACATGCCAACTCTGGCCTAAACTGGACACAAGCCATTTCATATCTCTGGACTGGAAAGGTTGTGGACTGAGTAATATCAAGTTAGACACCTCTGTGCCCTGTTTCACATCCTGCCTGGTTTCCTGCCTCCTGTCTCACACTTTCATAACTGGGCCCATTTAACTCATACTCAGCTCAAACTTGGCTCAGTCTCCATGGAAACCAGACTCCTTAGCAATCAAGGGGAATTTAATGAGCCCAAGGGCAGGATTTTAAAGAGTTCATCCCTATTAGCCTGGCTGCATATTCTGTTTTGACCTAATATTCTGGTTTAACAATTGGGCCCTGGTCCTATTCTCAAGGCAAGTAGCAGAGCCTCAAAGCTAGCAGTTCTGGTGTTAGAGGATTGGGTTCAAGTCCTGGCTATACCACTTTTTAATATGTATGGCCTTAAAGGGATACCTGAAGCTTTTAGCTCCTTCACCTTGTTTCCAGGGAAATGATGAATTTACCCTACAGGAGAACTTAGCACCACATCCAACGTCATGCTCCAGCCTTATATTCCATTTGCCATAACTGAGACCCATCTGATATCCGTTTTCCCCTAGGAGCATGACCTTGCTTTTCCTTAGTTCTTTTGGGTACTGCAATGCTGTTTCTAGATCTGGTTCTTCATTGTCTCCGTGGGCCTTCCATGATGCCTGAGTGGTCTGGCTTGTTATCTGCTGCCTGATGCTCCTTGTGTCTTTTTGGAACCACTGGAAGCCACAGCTAAGTCTCCCAGATTCTTCCTTCCTCTTTTCTCTAACTTATTCCTCTTCCTTCTGTTAAACCTGCCTGGATCCACCTTTTTCTGTCTGATTCTGTCTAGTCTCTAGGTCCTGATCATATCATCACCTAGAGGTTTGTTGGCCATCTCAAGGGCAATTACTACAAAGATTTGACAAAATTGAAAGTGATTTACACATTTTTAAAACAAACATACAAGTGATACAAATTTATTGACTTTTTCTGTGATGAAAAATGGTTGTCAAATAGTGTTAAAAGACAGATATTTTCAATTAGACATATTTTATTTGTATCTTTAAGTGAAAGGTGATGTATCAATGAGGAGGAATAAAACAGCATTTGAAAGAAATCTGTGGCATAAAAAGCATTTTTAAAAATGCATAAAAATGGTTAATTTATTGCTAAAAATAATGCATGTCATCATTTATGAACACTTTTGCATATTTTTAAAAACAAGGAAATACAACTTTATAACCTATTTAAGTTTTTATTAGGTTTTGCATACTTTCATGAGAATTATAAAAGTGTACATCTTATGGATTGTTGGTAAGAACATCTGATTGACATTAGGAAAGAAAATATACTAGCTAACTTTCATAAAAATATTTGCATAAAAGTTTAGGAGTTGAACACTAAGCATGAGTCAAGGATGCAGCTATAGGCTTGCATTCCATTGTATCTACTTATTTCAGTGAAGTTTTGTTCTCAGCTTTGACAGCCATTGAAATCTAGTATTGATATGACCTGTGAATTGCTTTTATCAGTGTTAAACAAAGGATCCTATATAATAAAAGCCTAATATGCTAAGTGTCAGGTCGTCTGGTTGTCCTTTCAACCAATCAAAGCATACTAAGTGTCTGGTTGTCTGTTCAACCAATCAAAGCATAATATGCTAATGATATGCTAAGGCCGCTCAACTGCTCGCTATGACATGTACTGACCACCAGGGGGCAGATGCTCCAACTGGTAGGTTGGCTTGCTGCTGGGGTCTGGCCAATTGGGACTGAGCGAGATGGGCCGGACATGCCCTGGAGCCCTCCCACAGTCCCTCCCCAGTTGGCCAACCTCCCACATCCCTCCCAAGCCCTGACTGTGCACCAGTGGGGTCCCTTGACCTGGCCTATGCCCTCTCGCAATTTGAGCTGAGGTGCCCCCCTTCCCCACCACGCCGAGTGCAAATTTCGTGCACTGGGCCTCTAGTTAAAAATTAATGAAGCACATCCTATGACATTTATTTCTTTAAAGTCTTGTTACTATAACAAATGTAGTGAAAGTAAAATAGGCTTTTTGTGCCATATAAAATGGCATATGAGGCAAGATGTAAATGTAAAAGCATATTATTTAATTCATTTTTATTTATACTTTACAATATTATTTTTGTGTATATTTTGTAATGCACACATTTATACTGCAATTGCATGTGCATCTGCTTATAAATAAATACAATTATTTTGGGACAAGTTTTCTTTTCTTTCTTTTCTTTTCTTTTTTTTTTTTGCTGATGGGGTGAGGAATCAAGACTAAATTGTCCAATGCATAGGATGTTTTGCTTGGGAAGATAAGCCTGAGATTCTGAAGG